CTCCATTCAGCCTCTGGCTCTAACATGAATCCTCATATTTCTAGTTTACACAATTATGCTTATAAATCTTGCTTCAGGACTCATGAAGGTCTATTAGAAAATTTCAGAATATTTCTGTACAAAGTCCTGACATTATAAATTACCTGGAGCTGTTCTGGTCCAGTGTTTCTCAAAGCATGGTCTGGTCCAAATCTTGAGGACACTTGTTAAAAATAAGGACTCCTAGAGCTCATCCTAAACCACAGAATGAAAGACTCTGAAAGTGGGCAAGAGGATCTGTATTCTTCACACCTTCCCCTTAGTGATTCTTATGCACACCAAAGACTGAGTAGCGTTATCATCTCATTCTTGGAAAACCGATATAGCAACAGTGTTTAATGGGATTCTGCTTCAAGCACAAGTGAAATCTTCCCATGTCTCTGTAATAACCTTTCTCTAAAGAACCCCCTTTATCATCACAACTGATACGTCTCTCACTATTTGGAGAATAATGATCTCAGCCTGACTTTTAAACATTTTGAAATCCACCTCGGTTTTCTAAACTCTCTCCTACTCCAGTGTTTTCAAAATGTGTCCCCCATATCACTAAGGATTTTAAGAGGCACCTGAGATGAACTTCTTTTCTTTTTACTTCCAAGGCAATGTGTTTATTTTAATGCGAATGAAGAAAAATTATAACTACAGTAATTAAACCTGTGATTTTAAAAGACTGGGGCTCAAGTGGAAAGTAAAAGAATCAATGTTGAAAACTATTAAGTAAATAATAGCAGGCAGTATCCAGATAATGAGTCTGAAATTTAGGAAACGTGATCCTGCCTGCTCCTTTCTCACAGACACCCTCAGTTTCTGCCGTGCTTCTCCGTTCTCCAGCCCTGACCACAGGCATTCTGCTTTATTCCAGCTGCGTCCATGCCCGTGAAACACTGCCTCCTCCTGTAAATGCCTCTTTAAATGTGACCCACATTTCACACCCAGAGCAGGCCTCCTTCCAGGAACCCTCCAGATTCTTCCAGCTCCCCTAGCCTACACCCTTTCTGAATGCCTTCAAATATTTAGAACCTAATTGCTACTTAAGTGTCCATCTATATCTAGTTATTGTTGTTTCCCTAGTGAAATGGAAGGCCCTTGAGAGTCACCTATGGTCTCTTTTACCTCTGGATTAGAGTGCTAACCTTCTTCCTTCGTTGAATCTGAGCACCGAACAGAAACTTGGTGACGACGTGTGAACTCATCTTGCCATTGAATGAAATGCTCCAGAGCACTGAGAGAAGCAGCTGTTCCATGCCAGCCACAGTTCCTTACTTCAGGCCAGGCTTCTTAGCCACACCTGAGAAAGGGTGGATCTGTTCATCACCTCCAGGCAAAGAGCACAAAGGCCTGAGCCCCAGGAATTCTACCCAAACGTGTGATTCTGTAGTTGTGCCCTGGCTGACGGGAATGGGAAAGGTGACCTTACACAACCCACATGCACCCTGTCTCTGTTTCCAAGGGCCAGTCACCTCTGCTGATGCACCCACCCTGGGGCGGGAGGAAGCACAGTGGCCACAGCCTCCTCTGGTGAAAACAGCACTAGATGAGCAAAGAGAACCAGCTCCACTTCTTGGTTCATTACCCTATGACTTTAGTCTTTCTGTATGTATTTCAAGTTTCTTTAATCTGTCTAATACCTATCATGCTTAATTCACACCTGCAATAAGGCAAAAGAGATAATGGTTTGAAAGCACTTTAAACTATCAAGTACAATGAAAACGTTCAGGGACACAGCATGTGCATCTGCAAGGGGAACGGACTGGGAGGCCGGGGGGCTCAGTTCTCCACCAGCCCAGTGGGTGGCAACAGGAGATCTGGGTCCTACCTCCAACCCCCCTTTGCCTGTCATGTTACCTCGGGGACCCACTTAGCTTCTCTGGGACACAATGTCCTTGTCTGTAAAACTTGCCTGTGTACTAGGTGACCTTGGCTGGGGCCAAATCCAACGTGAATTGAGAAGCTTAGGGAAAGATAACCAAGCAAGACTAGCGGCCACTGCGCGCTTCACTAGACGAGCTCAGAAGCGGGAACGGTGGCCTCATCTGCCCAAGGGTACGGGCAAGTCCCAGCAAAGCATCACCAGGAGCACTCAGACGCCCCTCCCTCCAACCAAGAGCTGTTTTCTGGATAAAAGCAGACCTGCTGTCCACCCTCCTGCGCTCTGCCTCCTGCCCAGCTCCCTCCGCTGCATACACACAGGGCCCATCTCCTTACCACCGCTGCCATGGCTTTTTTCTCCTTCCTATTCCAAAACAACAACTTCAAATCCACAGTTTTTTAGTGTTGAGGTCTCGCCCTGTTCTCCCTCAGACACACACTGCTTTTATGAGTAAAAGGTCTGACAGTCAGGTGTGGGAAGGACAAGGGGCATGAGTGGGAACTCGGGCGGTGGGAGGGGGATGGAGGTAAGGGGCACTGGTGGAGTGGAATGGCACTGCATTCTTTGGGATTCCATAAACGGTTCTCCTGCTTCCCAAAGTGTAAGGCACAAGTCACCCAGGGTTGGACTTGGTGTGGTGCCTTGGAGCTTCCCTGCAAGTCCCGTAACCATGGTTTCGGACAGACTACATCACAGCCCTGAGCATAGAGACAACAGGCTTTTTCTGATTTTCCCCTAAAACTCCATCCCCTTGAAAAAATATGTAAGGTGATGTGCCAAGGTGATTCGTATGCAACCTCTGACAGTAGGACATTCACGAAGTTATTTGTTCTCAATCATTAGAAGGTGGTTTTTCTACATCTCTCCGTGAGAAGCAGATACCTCTCTTTTTGTATAGGTCAAAGAACCCTGAAAACATGTACACCCAGAGCCACACCTGTTCTTGGTGGAAACAGGTAACAAGTCTAAAAATACAGAAATTCATTTCCTCGTTTAACACTATCCCTCCAAGAACAGCTAAAACAAGGTTGCTTCTCTGGGTGCCAAGGCAGAATGCATTTGGCTTATAGTATATGGACAAGGCCTATTTCCAAGTCCCTAATATTTTGACAGTGACCAATTAACTCAATCTCAGACTTAGAAGTGGCATCTCATCCTACAGTCTCTTGAAACCAAAACAGGGAAACACTATAAGGGGGTTTCAAAGCACTGATTTCCAATTACTAGCAAAAACATGTTTGAAATGCAACACTCATTCTGGAGGGACGGGCCATGCACTGGGCCAAACAAGCTGGGCTGATGTCTCCTAGGCCCTGGAGGCGACATCCTAGAGGAGGACACGTTTTTCTCCCTCTGTGTCAGAAGGGGAGCTAACCACTGTGCAACAGACTAGAAACAAGCTGGCTTCCTCCGGAGGGAAAAATAAAGCGGCTCCTCACTCAGCTAAGCAGGACAAAGCCAGGACGTGCAAGAAGCCTCGGTCTAGGGCTCCGCGTGCCTCTCCAAGGCCAGAGGAACCCACCCACACACAGTCACACACAGGCGGCCCACCACGCGCCCGGGAAGGCGCCGGGGCCCGGCGACCTCCTGCGCTGGCGGCTCCGAGCGCCCCCA